AGGTAGTGCCAGCACCAGGGCCAGTCAGGATCTGGTACTGGCAAGGGCCGACGTTGCGGCCACAGCGACGAGCCCCCTAGCTAGCTGGGCCGCTATTGCAGCCAATGCTACCCGGACCACCAGGCAACCATTGCTGCTGAGGGCGCCACTGCTGCTGAGGTTCCCACTGTTAACACTGCCGCTGCTGCTATCCCTGCTATTGCAGAGCCCTAACGAACGTCATGGTAAAGGCTAGCTGGGAGTAGGAGCGGCAAGCTAGGAGTAGCTGGTGCTAGAAACAGCCAGAACGAGGAAGCACTAGGCTAGGAACTACTAGCGCTCTCAACAGCTAGAGCTAGAAGCATCTGGAGCTAGGAACGCCTGGAGCATAGCACGGCTAGGAGTGGTTGGAGCTAGGAGCGGCTGGAGCAAGGCACGGCTGGAGCCAGGTACGGCTGGAGCAAGGCACGGCTGGAGCTAGGGACAACTAGAGCGATAATAAGAACCAACAACGAAGAGACACCAACCTAGGAACAGCCGGGAGGTAGGAACAGCTAGAACCGCCACGCTAGGAATGGCTAGCACGAGGAGCGGTTGGAGCGAGGAGTGAAAAAGGACGCCAAGCTAGTGCTAGAAACGGCTGGAGCTGGCACGGCTAGAGCTGGAGTGAGGAACGTCGATCTAGGACCGGCTGGAGCTCGAGAGTGGAAGTGCGGCTGCCGCCCGCCGGTAGTAGAAAACTGCTAAGAGTGGTCGGAGTAGGAGCGGACGGAGCGAAGAAAGCCAGACTATGACCGATGGGTGAGGTATGACAAGCTATGAACGCTAGTCATGTGAAGGTTACTAGCCCTAATTCTCGCCAGGAGAAGCGACTGTGGCCGTCAGCCGCTGCCGGAGGTGCCAATGGAACTAGGTGTGTACGAGACAGTCAGTACGGTTGGAGTGAGGTGGCGCACGGAGAGCATTGCTGGTGGTTGTCACTACTGGTGCTGCTGGCATTATCGGCACTACTGTGGGCGGCTCTTAGGTTCTGTGGGCGGTTGGGAGGGGTTGTGGGCAGCTGGAAGTTGCTGTGGGTAGCTGAAAGTTGCGGTGGGCGGCTGTAAGTTGTTGTGGGCGACTGGGGGGGGGCTGGGAGTTGCTGTGGGTGGCTCAAAGTCGCTATGGGAGGGGGATGCGAGCAGCTGGAAGTTGCTGTGGGCGCTTGCGAGGGGTTGGCGGCAAGCGTAGCTGCTGGCGGCAGGCTGGCTAGCGGCTAGCGTAGCTGCTGGCGGCAGGCTGGCTGGCAGCTAGCGTAGCTGCTGGTGGCAGGCTGGCTGGCAGCTGGCGTAGCTGCTGGCGGCAAGCTGGCTGGCTCTGTTTGCCTCTTGCTGGTTGTGGCTAGCTCTGCTGTTAGTGCTGGCGGCTAGTGTAGCTGCTGGCAGTTGGCAGAAGTGGTAGTAGCGAGTGCGCCTGCTACTCGTGGGCCGCGGCAGTGGCGCATGCAGTTGCCGCCGGCACGTGCGTTTGCTGCGCGCGCTGTGCGCACATTGGTGACGCGCGCGGCTGTAGCTGCACGAGCGACTGCAGCGCGTGCGGTTGTTACTGCGTGCGCGGCTGCCGCGCGTGTGCGTGGTCGCGACCTAACGACGGGGCGCGTTCTGCCTACGGCGGACCTCGTTCCGCGTGGCCTACAGCGGGGAGCGCGCTGCTACTAAGGTCGCGACCTAGGGAAACGGGCTTGGGTGGGGTCGCGCGACCTAGGGAAACGTGACGGTGGGAGTCGCCACAGCGGACTGAGGACGGCTCACTGGCTGGAGGGAGTAAGGAGGGAGGGACAAGCTCTAGAACTATGATGCAAGTTAGGCCTAGGAAGTTTTCTAGCTCTGATACCATCTCAAAGTACAGCGGAATGATGAAAGGAGTAGTAGGGGAGGGGATACAAGTAGAAATGTCGATGATAAATGTGTACCTTATACTAGGCAACTCACTATAGCCTAGCAAACTAGCAAAACATATAAAATTTATTCGACGCTCACACGGAACCTCATAAAAACACTTATTTTTATAACTTTACCCATTTTCGAAATGTTATATACCTTACAAGCAGCTATCTTTCATATCTCGATGTTAAGTTATCGCGTGCAATTGACGACGATGGGGCGCAACAATAGATTTATCATACGGTGGACCATCCATACAAGCAAAAACGACATGTGGATCACCTCGGCCTCTCTTAAAGCAAGTTCGGTCCCCGACATCCCGAAAACACGTGCCCCAGGTGGACCATTATCTCTAGAAAGTGGAGCAGATATAATTATTTTCGAGTTTTTCTATAGTGCGTACAACCTCAAAATTGGAAGGCAAGGCTCGGCCAGAAGACCTAGCCTCCCTACCGAAGCTTCATCCCGTCACTTTCGGACTTCACGCAACCGGACCTGTGCCCAACCTAGACTTGGTGGCCGCCAAGGTTGCTTGTTCCCGCACACTGGCTTCCCTGCATGATTGTGCCAACAGCGCCTACACAACGAGGAATTAGTTTTCCCGCCTAAATTTCGCCGTTTTGTCCCCCGAATCCAATTGCAACCGAGCCACTCGCCCGTCTGGTATGAATTGAATTCAACAAGAGCCTTGGTAAAACGGGCAGATAAAGTCCCTCATTTTTCATCCCCAAAACATCTTCCATCCCAACAAAGCACGACGGAACATGCGTTCTTATTTCTGGTAGGCATGTATTTGCATGCTGGGCCCCAAGTTCGAGCCTCGAAGGCGAGAATTGGGGTGGAGAAGGCGAGAGGAGACTTGGAGGGGTGGGAGCAAGTTCGGGTCGGAGGATTCAGGGAAAACGCCTCAAAAACAAAAACATGAAAGGGCAATATGCAATCGGATGCGAGGAAAACCGCGCGTTGTTCCCTCTGGTCCCGGGGATTTCTTCCGCGCAACACGCCCTGAAGCACTTCGCCAAGACTGCCGTGCCATGCCACCACCAGACCGGAGCAGCAGCAGCAGCAGCAAGCAGTAGGTACTTGAATCAGGTGGTGGTGTAGGTGCACCGCAGTGCGCACTAGGGTGCCTGGGGCGTGGCGCGTGCGAACAGCTGTGCTGTACATTTTCCAAGTTTTTACTTCGCAGTTTGACCACTACTGCCGTAACCGTAGTAAACTAGCGCATGTGCTGTGGAGCTGCTCCAATACGTCTCTTTCGTCGTCGTTTCTCACTAAAACGTTTCAGCCTCATGCTTGCCGCGGTTCAAATGAATGCGGAGGGACAGTCGAGCGACCTTCGCAGTGCTGACGTGGCGCGCATGTGATGCGGTTGTTAGACAGCAACCCATGGACAGCACCCCGACCTGCGACTGGTCCAATCACGATTAGCAGGCCATCAGTGCCCCATGCGATACTTCGTCGTGTCCTTTTGCGGAGAGACGATTCAATTAGTCTTATTCGTTGGGCGGGACTCTGGAATTAAATTGTGACTCACCTCACATCGCATCTCCTGCGGGGTGCCCTTCCGTTCCTTCGTTAGAAGCAAGAAGCTGCAACCATGACCCTTTTACAGGGACTCGAGCCACACGAGGGCTCGGAAGTAGTACTAGTAGTGGTACCTGCTCCCACCAACTTCGTGACACGCTCAGCGATAAAAATTCAGGCTTGCTCCGAGCGCGACAGAGATGAAGATGTGTTTAGGCTCTAAGTGCTTGAGGGGTTTTCATTCTTTGGATAGACAAGGAGAGACCGCACGCGGTGACCTTGGGGTTGGCTGGGGGAACGCGTCATGGGGCCGCGGGGTTGGACGGCCTGTCGGAGTCACAATCCGTCGCACGTGCTGCTGCGAGTCGCCGTGCTGCCGCAGCGTTGAGGAGTGCTGTCGCTTCCCACCCCTGTTCTTCAGCTTCATGTTTCAAGATTTCACGAGGGTTGTCGCCTGCCCTGCTTGCGACGAGTGCGGTAACGGGGCGAGCGAAAGCGCGTGGAAGGGTTGCGACGGCGACAGCGTTGAGCCTGGATGGCAGGGGAATGCTGGCAGAGGCGCCGGGGCCACTGATTGCGTGACATCCAGCGCAGCATCTCGGAAATTCCCAATCTTGGAGCATCTTGTTCGGTTACGAATCATGGATCGCGGTGGACGAATGGCTGATTCACCAGCGGTCACAAATTCCATCATGGCACAGCCGCCGCACTTGGCGGAGGTGCAAACCTACGCTCCTGCAAGCGGCGAGACACGCGAGGCGCAGTTTCTATTTGCGCTGGAGCTTTTTCAGAGGGATTCACGCGAGCGCATCAACAAGTCGATAGTCGGTTCGGTAATCAGTCGCGAGCACAATGAAGGTGGCGAGTCCTGTGCCTCTGGCGCGTTTGAGCGAGGCTGGGGCGAAGAGCTCTGGCGACAAGACCCGCTCTTGTCGTGCTGCGTCTCCGCCGTGCACTGCCTCACGAGATTGCTGGACGCAACCCGTGTGTCAAACTCGCTGACGTCAGCGTGGTCAACGCGCAAGAGAAGCAACGAGCAGGCGGAGCGGTCGAGTTTATGGTGGCGGGCGGCTGGGGGGCAGGCGAAGCGAAAACATCGCGCAAGGTTGCAGGGTAGACCGAAAGAAGGGAAGAGGCAGTAGCTGACTAGGGGTTGCGGACGAAGCAGATGTGCAACGCCTGGTGGAATCTGAAAATGATGGATCAGGCTCGAACTGGTGGGTTCTGAGGGAGGGAAAAGTCGAGCCCCCAAAAGCTCATGCTTTTCTGATGGGCTGATGCGTTCATACAATATCTGTTAGGGATGCATCCTACGGTAGTTTGATTTCATGTGTAGAAGGTGATTTCGTCAGTCTTATACCCTTTATATACTGCTCCTGTCTGTAGCAAACTACTACCATTAGATTATGGATTCATGAATGAACGTGATGCGGGTCATAGCATATGTACAGCAAGGACATTGCAGACCATGCGGAGCCATTGCAACAGACGAGCGGTGCGTGTTGATGAGCAAACCGTCCGTGAGGATGGGCTGTTTATTGCCTCTACCCAACCAACGCCTTGAATCTCATCTTATGGGCGAGCACTGCAGGGAGAAAACCAGAAACTTAAGACAGCGCGTTCCAGCGAGGCGGGGGCATGCGAGTAGAGTGCCTTTGAGACGGCAGGCCAGGGGGGCATGGAGTGCAGGAGGAGGCCGAGGGCGAACCAGCAGGCGCAGAGGAGCGGCACCGCTGCCACCGCTGCTGCTGCCACCATGCGAGCGCGGTAGGAGGCGGGGGAGAGAGCGGGCGAGGCAGAGGGGCGGCGGGCGGGCATGGCGAGGGCGAGGGCGAGTGCAGAGAGCAGCGCAGCGAGGGCAGTGAGGGCGAGCAGCGCGAGGAGGGCGGGCGGGCAGCAATGCGGGTGCACGCAGGCGAGCAGCGCTAGCAGCGTGGCGAGCAGCAGTGCAGCCGCAGTGGCCTTGAGGGCTGCCCGCCACAGCAGGGGCTCAGTGGCGAGGGCCAGCGCGTGGGGCTGGGGTTGTCGTGATGGGGGGAGAGCAGGCGAGGAGGCGCGATGAGAGGGGGGTGGCGTGGCAGTGGGGGCGTGAGAACCGGAGGAGGCGGTGGTGCATGCAGATGTAGTTCCCTCACTCCCCTCACCCTCCTCACCCTGCCACGCCTCCTCTCCCCGCCCCTGAAACACCCTCGTCGTCCCCCCCACTTGACTCCCACGCCCACGCATTCCCCGCTGCCCTCTCCCCTCCCTGCCTCTGCTCGCATCCTGCACATCATCCCCCCCGCCACCCCACACCGCCCCCCCCCCACCCGCCCCGCCTCGCCTCTCCTCCAGGGCTGCTGCCTCCTCCGCTGCCACCTGGCACGCCGTCAGCCGCTGAGTCGCTGCCGCCAGCTCTTCCCTCAGCCGCCCGAGTGCCAGGCTGGCAGCCGCCAGGTCAGCCTGCAGCTGGGAGCAGCGCGATTTCGAGGCGTGCAGGTCGGCATGCAGGCGCGCACCGCGGTGGCGCTCCCTCGCCAGCGCCCTCTCTGCCTCCTGCCGCGCCGCCGCCTCCTCGCCCAGCTGATGTGCTCCGCGGAAGGGAGTGTTGGGGTGCAATTAGGACGGCACGACGGCATGGTGTTGCATGAAGAAAAAACACAAAGGGAAGGGAGCAATTGGGCTTAGCGAGGGCGAGAGGGGCGAATAAACAAAGGAGTAGAAGAGATGGAGAAGACGGATGAGGCGGGGGGCGAGTAAAGGAGGGGAGAGTGTGGAGAGGCAGTCCCCCACGTGGCATGTCGACTCTCTCTCTCGCCCATATCTCCCCACTCACTCCGACTTCCACCCTCCCACCCCTGCGCGCTGCACTACACCACTCCTCACCCTAGCCCCGGCGCCAACACCTTCCCCAAACCCCCACCACCCCCACCTCCCCGCTTCCATCTCTCCATCCACATTCCCCCCTCCTTTCCGCGCACCTCGCGCACGGCGCGCTGGAGGCACTCCTTAAGCTGCGCGCGCTGCGATAGCGCCTTCCTCAGCCGCGTCGCCGCCTCGCGCGCCGCCGCCTCGCTCGCCTCCCTCGCCGCCTCCTCCCGCTTCGCGCGCTGCTGCAGCGCCGCCGCCGCCTCGCGCCAGTACCCGCCCTGCTGCTGCGCCTCCGCTAGGCTTGCGCGCATCTGGGGGGGAGGGGGAGGGCACGAGGAGAAAGGGGGGCGGGACGGGGGGCAGGGAGGGCGGGAGAGAAAAGTTGGAGGCGAAGGCGAAGGCGAAGGCGAAGGCGGTAGCAAGACTCGTGCGACGCGTCTTGGCGAGGAGGGCGGATGGAGAAGAGGCGAAGAGGGATGGGGGTCAGCGGAGGGGATGAGGTGAAGGGAAGGCGCGGGGGACGGGGAGATCTGGACGGCGAGGCGAGGTGGCGAAGGGGTTGTAACGACCGCTCATGTGCCCATGCGGCGCGCGGCACACCGGGCTGGCTGCACGTGGAGTGCGACGAGGAGAAGCGAGAGGCAAGGTCGAGTGTGGTGAGGACGGATCTGGGAAAAAGGAACCCGCAAGCTCCCCGCCGCCTTACTGCGCGCGTTCTTGCTGCGCGCGTTCTTGGTGCGGAATCCGACCTGCCTTTGCCATCCGGCACGCCCCCCTGCGCGCACCTTGTTCTCGCGAAGGGCGGCGGAGAGCAGGCGGAAGGGTAGCAGTGGAAGCGCGCAGATGGCGGAAAGGCAGGTGGAGGCGAGGAAAAGCTGAAGGCGCACAGCCGACCAGATGAACTGGCGGAGAGGTGACGTGGCGGATGCGACGGCTGACGTGGCAGAGATGATGATGGACAGAGGCCCATATTCGTTAGCCATGGCGGCGAGGTGCGACAACGAACGAACATCAGAGAAAAGGAGGAGGCAGCGATGGCAGAAGCCTCGCGAGTGATGGACTCGCTGCTGGCGGGACATACTGTTATGGGTGCAATGGATCGAGGTAGTGAGGATTGCAGTAAGTTGTCAAAAGTATGAGCGAAGGCATGAGCGAATACTTATAGGCGAAACATGCAAACGGTAACGCGTGCGTGCGAGCTAGCTAGTGCTACGCTGGCGCGAGGTTCGGGCTTGTTGGGCTGAGGAAAGCCCTTAGGATATTCTCAAGGCTGACCCTGAGTAGAAATGTTGTAATTTCGGAAGCGTTTTGATAAACTCTTGAACCAACTTGCACCAGTGTGTGAGAGCAAGAGGTTGATTATAGCAAAGTAATGCAAAGCTTTTATATGAGTACAAGGAATATGAAAAGATGCAACCAACTGTTTTACTGTTGCTGTTGCGGTTCGATACAGCGACGACTCGGGCAACTGCTCAATATCGATTCAGTTGTTTGTCCTTGCTGTCGCGCTGCCTTTTGTCAAGTCAAAGGTTGGTGACCTTTGACCTTCGCGTAACCTCAAGCTGTTACGTTTTGTCAACCTCCTTGGTTGACTCGCTATTGCTTCACTGTAACGTGCCTCGTTTGCAGTTCGATGTTCCGACACATCAGAAGCGTTAAGTTGCTTGTTTCCAACACTCCCTTTCGCTTCTGGAGTGTCGTTGCTAGTGACGTGGCCTTGTCCAGTTAGCAACATGCAGTACTCAAACTTTTGCTTTCTGAGTTTCTTGGTCAAATAATCAGCTGCCATTTCGGATGTGGGGCAGTAGGACAGTGTCAAACATTTATCATGTAGCCTTATTTAGGCTGTAGTGGGGTAGATACTAAGGGGTACGGTTTCCTGGGGTTTCATACTTGTACCATTCACATTTTCTAGTCAATCATTCCTCGTTATTTCACTTGGTATAGAGCAGGTTCCCTAGTGGGAACGTGTCCTAGGGCCCACCACTAAAACGATTTTTTTTTTTTTTTTTTCCTTACCTGCCCGGAGCGCGCTTCGCGCCTGCCCTCCCGTCGCGTCCCCTGCCCTTAGCGGCCCGTCGCGCCCTTCTTAAGGCCCCCTCGCGGCCCCTCTCACGGCCCTTCGCGGCCCCTTCGCGGCCCCTTCGCGGCTCCTTCGCGGCCCTTCGCGGCCCCTTCGCGGCCCCTCGCGGCCCCTCCCGGCCCATTCGCGGCCCCTCGCGGCCCCTTTTCGGCCCCTTCGCCGCCCCTCGCGGCCCCTTCGCGGCCCCTCGTGGCCCCTTCTCGGCCCCTTCGCCGCCCTTCGCGGCCCCTTAGCGGCCCTTCGCGGCCCTTCGCGGCTCCTTCACGGCCCCTCCGCGGCTCCTTCGCGGCTCGTCGCGGCCCCTTAGCGGCCCCTCCCCGGCTCTTCACGGCCCTGCCGCCCCGTCGTCGCCGCCCCAGCAGCAGCTGCCGTCGCACCTGCTGCCGTTGCTGCTTCCTCTACGGCCGGTCGCGCCGCCGCTGCTGCCGTGACAGCCGCCGCCGCTCCTGCTGAGACAACCGCCGCTGCCACTGCCGTGACAGCCGCCGCCGCCGTCCCGGCCCTACCCTGCAGCCGAGGCGCGGCCCTCCTCTGCCGCCCTGTCGCGGCCCTGTTCCTGCCGGCGCACCTCGGCCTTGCCCCACCGCTTGCCGATCTCTACCCACTCGCCCCTGGTAAGAGCACCGCCGAGCCGCGCCCCTCCTGCTGCTGCTGCTAGCCTGCCACAGTTGCTGCTAGCCTGCTGCTACTGCTGTCATGGCTACCCCCAATGTGCTCACCTTTGATGCTGAGGGTCGGGCTGTCGACTTTGAGGCCTGGGTCGATGATCTGCAGCTCTTCCTGCAGTGCGATAGAAAAGACGGTCTCTCACTAATTGATCTCACATCTGGCGCCTCTACTGCCCCTACTACCGACGCTGACAGTACTGTTCGCTCACAGTGGGCCACACGCGATGCTGCTGCCCGTCTTGCTGTGCGTAGTCACCTGCCGTCCTCTGAGCGCGCGCACTTTGGTCAGTACAAGAGTGCTAAGACCTTGTATGACGCTGTAGTTGCACGCTACTATTCCCCTGCCACTGCGCGGCGCATCAGATCAACCTTCAGCCCCGGGTCTCCTTGCCGGAGACCTCCCCCACCCTGCGGTGGACGAGGAAGGTTGGCGATGCGTCGGCGTTCCGTGTCTGGGGATCTCGGGCTTTCGTCCGAGACTTGTATGCGGACAAGCTGTCCCCCCGTGCTGTTCCCTGCGTCTTCCTTGGCTTCCCCCCTGACGCGCCTGGTTGGCAGTTTTACCACCCCACCTCGCGACATGTTCTGTCCTCCCAGGACGTCACGTTTGACGAGTCGGTTCCTTACTACCGTCTCTGCCCCTACCGCGCTGCCCCCCTCCCCCCCCCGCCGCTCTTCCTCGCGCCAGGTCCCCCCCCAGTAGACCCCCTCCCCCCTTAGGGTCCTGCCCCCTCAGGTGTGTCTCAGGTAGACGCAGTCGAGCCTGTCGAGGTAGCTGTTGACTCTGGTGCTGCTAGGGGTGCTGAGCCTGCGGGTGCCGGGTCTGGGGGTGCTGAGCCTGAGCGTGCGGAGCCTGGGGGTGCTGGGTCTGGGGGTGCTGAGCCTGGGGGTGCCGAGTCTGGGGGTGCTGAGCCTGGGGTTGCTGAGTCTGGGGGTGCGGAGCTTGAGGGTGCTGGGCCTGCTCGAGTGGAGCCTGGTGGTGCTGGGCATGGAGGTCTTTCGGGTGCTTCGTCCCGGCGGGAGCTACCCTCTCCCCAGGAGCTGCGTGAGTGGTTTGCTCGCCGCTGGAGTCGTACTGTTGGAGCTGGTGGTGCTACCGGTGCTGGAGGCTCTGCGGCTGCTGGAGGTTCTGGAGCCACGGGTCCCGGAGGTGCTCGTACCGGCGGTACTGGAGCTGCTGGGCCTGGTGGTGCTGCTGGTGCTGGAGCTAGAGGTGCTGCTGGTGTAGGTGTTGCTGGAGGTTCTACTGGAGCTGGAGCTGCTGGAGGTGTTGGCGCTGCTGGAGCTACTGGGGGTGCTGCTGGAGCTGGTGGTGCTGCTTGCGTTGGTGCTGACGCTGGGGGTGCTGGTGCTGTCCCTACTGGTTCTGGAGGCGCTGCGCGGCCGCGGCCGTACTTCGTTCCGCTCCTTGAGCAGGTTCTTGGTCTTCCGCCTTCTACTGGTCCTGCTCCCTCCTTAGAGTGTCCACCGCCTGTCCAGTCCGGGTCACAGTTACAGCTCGCCTCCCCACTGCCTGCTCCTCCTCCCTACACTGGTCCTACTGGAGGTCTTGCTGAGCGTCGTGAGCCTGAGTCTCGACCTGCGTCGCCTGTTCGTGCTGGTCGCACTAGTCGTCGTGTTCCACGCCAGCGTCCTCCTGCGGTCCCGGGCACGCACCAGATGGCACTACGTCCTTCCACTGCTCCACTGCGTGTCCCTTCGCCGTCTCCTCCTGAGTCCTCTCTTTCTGCTCTTGCTGACCCGGAGTCTGACTCCCTTCGTGCTGCCAGTCCTACTGTCACGCGTCTCCTGGCTATTGTTGCCACTAACCCTTCCTTTGAGTCCACTGCTGCGTCTGCCTTAGTTGCTGAGCTTCTAGACTTCGCTGCTCACTGTCGTCTAGACTACGCCGCCGGTCTTGTTGCTGAGTCTGAGTCTGTCTGTCCTCCGTCCGTCGGGGGTGAGTGTGCTCTTGGCACGGACGTCCTTGAGGACAGGCAGGAGGAGTTCCAGTGCTTTGCTGCTGCTTTACCTCATCTCGTGTCCATGCTGCTTGCCCCTGAGGGAGACCCGGATGCTCCAGACATCCCGACTCCGCGTTCTTACGCAGAGGCGATAGAGGGTTCCTACTCCTCTCAGAGGCAGACAGCCATGGACGCAGAGATGGCTTCCTGGAAGTCCACAGGCACCTACGTTGACGAGGTTCCCCCGCCTGGGGCGAACATTGTCGATGGCATGTGGATTTACAGGGTGAAGCGGCCGCCCGGTTCTCCGCCTGTCTTCAAGGCGCGTTACGTGGCTCGAGGCTTCAGTCAGCGGCAGGGAGTTGACTACATTCAGACCTCTCCCACCCCGAAGATGACCACTCTTCGGGTGCTGCTGCACATAGCCGCTCAGCGTGACTACGAGCTTCACTCTCTTGACTTCAGCACTGCTTTCCTACAGGGCAGCCTGCACGAGGAGATCTGGCTGCGCCGCCCTCCTGGCTTCACTCGGTCGTTTCCTCCTGGTACCCAGTGGAGCCTCAGGCGGCCAGTCTACGGTCTCCGCCAGGCTCCCCGCGAGTGGCACGACACACTGAGGACTACGCTTGCGGCTCTTGGGTTTGCTCCTTCTACTGCTGACCCGTCGCTGTTTCTACGCACCGACACCTCGCTGCCGCCGTACTACATCGTCGTGTACGTCGACGACTTGGTCTTTGCTACTGCTGACACTGCTGGACTCGCCCACGTGAAGTCCGAGCTGCAGAAGAGACACACGTGCATAGACCTGGGTGAACTGCGCAGGTACCTTGGCTTGCAGATCACCCGGGACAGAGCACGGCGCACCATTACCCTGACTCAGTCACACATGGTGCAGCAGGTCCTTCAGCGCTTCGACTTCACGTACTCCTCGCCTCAGGCCACTCCTCTGTCTACTCGCCACTCGCTCTCAGCTCTGCCTTTGGATGAGTCCGTAGAGCCGAGTGGCCCGTACCCAGAGCTTGTTGGCTGCCTCATGTACCTGATGACCTGCACTCGACCTGACCTTGCATACCCTCTTAGCATCTTGGCACGCTATGTTGCTCCTGGGAGACACCGACCAGAGCACATGGCTGCTGCGAAGAGGGTGTTGCGCTACTTGTGCAGTACGTCGGGCATGGGGCTAGTGCTTGGAGGGCGGAGTTCAGTGGTCCTCACTGGTCACGCAGATGCTTCTTGGGCTGACGACCAGGCTACGCAGCGGTCGTCACAGGGTTACACCTTTAGCCTTG